GGGGGGCGGAAGGGGGGGTGGGGCGGAGGGGGGGGGAACTCCAACCTGGCGATCAGCCTAATTGTTTCTTGTTAATTATACTTGTTTTTTTTGTTCTCAGCTTCTTCATTTTATTTTGTTTTGTCCTTCTTTCTTTTGGCGCTTTTCTCATAAGAGACCTTTCATCCAGTAAATTTAAAGATAACAACAATGATTTCATGCTACTAAGCAATTACATGTTAATATATGTTGAAATATTGAATACTTAAAGAATATTCATAGATTAATTTGCATTCACATCCTTCAATGCCATACACTCAGTTTTTATAAGAAACAGGTTATAAGAAAAAGTAGGCTCAATTTCAAGAAACGTCAAGAAACAACATACCCAAATTGAAAAAAAGCTAAGAAACTTTTATAATTGAAGTTTTAATTTCAGATCTCAACAGATTTTAGTCATTCTAAAATGGCCAGAAAATTTAAAGAAACTGCCTACCAGCACTGGACCTTAGTTTCTTATAAAATATATTGTAGAAGCGACCCAACTTGCTCTTTGTCTTTAAGGACTTTTTTCTAAACAGGTAACTTGTTGTGGTCAGCCACATGATTGCATCTGATATACCAATTAATACCAACTATATAGACAGGTTTGGAAAGGATTTCAAAAGAAAAACATTTTACTTCAAACTTCAAAAAACAAGCAAGTTCAAATTTTGTACTTCATCATTTCAAAATTCCACTCCACCCTCCATATATGTTGCATTAAGTATTATAATGAATTCACAAAAATAAAGGCCACCAGGGTCCATAGACAGCTAAACTGGAATGAGAATGATAAAATTAAACTGAACTGAACTGAACTGAACTGGAGGGTATGGATAGAAATATGGCTTTTTCTATTCTGCCTTAGAAAATACTGTCAGATCAAACTGACACTTATAAGATCTTCAAACACAACTTTTGCAAAACTATTGGGGGGGCACCTGTCCCCTAACCCTCAGTGCGTGCCTATGGGCACAGAACCCACTCTATTTCATAAAAAGAGCTAGATATGGGCTTTCCCTTTTTCCTCTACCAATATTAGGCAATTTGATGATTGCGAAAAGAAATTTTCTGAGACAGTAAATAAGGATATTGTCATAAATTTTTGCTCTGTCATCTTGGGTAGTAGCTGGGCACACCTCTGTGCATGAATCGCAATGCTTGTCCAGTCGCCCCCACTGAAAAAAGGATATCCAGAGAAAACCATATATCCTGGTTTTGATCCATCCTGTCATCAATTGGATGAATCAATGTGACGGGTGTTGGGTCCTGTGGCGAGTAACCATGATCAGGACTCAATGCAGCATGATGATTTGAATAATGGCCAAATAGCTTCATCGCGACTTGTCCATCTACCATACAAAGCACTTAATTCCCCCTCTCCCTACGTACACACATTTTTATTCAATCTATCATGATAAAACATATAAAATCGACTTTAAAATCAGCAAAATCACAATTTTAAAAAAATGTGATGCCTTACCGCCATTGATATTTGTCATTGCGAATAGATTTGTTTCACAACCACAACAGCAAAAGCAAGTAAAGATATTTCAAAAAGAGGCAGATTAAACATTGCAGCTTGAAAACAAGGAAGTACTCGAAACGGGCAAGAAATTATACTATGATCAGAAATTGAAACCAGTTCAGTGATGCTTAGAGATTTCTTGGGTTTTTTTAGATCTGATAGTAAAGAAGCGAAAAATGATAGAGACCAGGTTTGTCGAAGCGAACCAGTTTGATTGTTCCAAAATGAATGACTTTTTCTTAGGCCTTTAATTCTACAAAAAAGTTTCAGTTAAGTTAAACGAAATCAGATTAGAATATAGAGTTTTGATGTCTGATGGGATGATTCCACAACGGTCGTAGACTCCGTAAATATAATTTCCTTGGCCTAAACAAAAATAATGTCACCGGGGAAGTGAAAGAGCAATTACACTTTGCATTGTGTGAAATGGCCTTACTTGGTTACAATTCCAGGTTTCGGGTTGACGTTATCGATTTTGCATCTCAAAATTTAATAATGTGGCTAAAAAAGTTGTTACTACGACTGTTCAGAATGTAACATGTGTAATACTGAGTAACAATTAACCAAAAATCGTATTTCGACTTCGGGTGTATTTTCTATTTAATTCAGTAAGCAATTTCCTTGCAAACAATATTGAAAAATTAAACATAATTTAATTTCTTGGATAAATAGAGTGAATTTCCTTGAAAAATACAGGGCTCGTGAATATGACATTCCTTTCATAGATTGGCTTTGGAATATCATTGTTAAGGTTTTTCAAACATCCAAATGTTGTCTGATTTTATTCTTACAGACCGAAGCGGCTAGTTCCAAGGTCCCAGAGATAACAGATGACCAACCAAGAAATCCATATACAGAGATTAAGATACTGTCAGGACACTCAGATAGAATTCACCTAGCTACGATCATTGATGAAAGCAGGTATTTGGAGAAATAGAATTTGTCCCTGTTGAATTTTGTTTTATTTTGTATCTTTTAGCATGCTACGGTAGTTTTTAGGACAATGAGAAGCTGTGCATATCAAGCTATGTTCAGGTCCTTCTTCTTGATGTGAAATCACTTTGTAATTCCTTGAATGGTCTGGAATGGATTCTTATTCCAAAGCAAGTGACTTTTCTCACTCTAAGTCTCTAAGACTGCATCTTAGGCTGATGTGAAACTGCAAATTAAAGTAAATCTCAATTTCAATTAACATAAAACCCCTATACAATACAAAATAATCATATAAAGTCTTGATATCTGCAAAGTACAGATCAATCTTAGTTTCTTCTTTCCTTAATAGTAAATATTATAAGGTAAAACTGCTTCTTTTCTAAGGAGACATTTTTTATTAAAGCCATTTCAGAGTTTTGGTATTATATTCTTAATATTGAAATTTATTCCTAATTTTCTCATTGACTTTCTTAGCTCAGTTTAAGAAAGGCCACTGCTCAAAGATGGCAATAGCTATGCTCTATTCTTTAAATTTGATTATCTTTTTATATCATGCAGGAAGTTTTTGTGATGTTTTCTTGCTCGTTCAAATTATTTACTTTTTGTTCAAACTTTTACTTCATTCTTTTTTTATTACTAAGGATACTCACTGCTGCACAAGACAATACAGTTGCAGTCTGGGATTCTGTAGTATGTTTACACATTTTACATGAATTTTAAATATTGAAATAAAATTTGCATTATAGTGTTAAAATCTTTTAGATTATCATTTAGCTGATAAAAGCTGCAAAAGGTATCTCAGAATAAGGTTTTATGTTTTCATGAAGAATTTTTGTGTTGAGATTAAAGTTTTTCTATCCTTTCATTCATTCTACTAGAAAGATTGTGTTTCAACTTATCCTGGTGATATGAATTTCATTTGGGAAGATAGTATGAATGGAAAGGACAGACATAAAATTTCAAGCCTGAGCAGTTTTAGCATTAATGACACTCCAGTTTCAACATTAAGGTTTTCTCCCTTCCAACATCATCATTCAATTACTATTAGACAATTTTTTTATGAAGCACATTAGGTTTGGTAAAGCAGCTTTTTCAAAACAAGTCTGGTTAAGGTCACACTAACAATAACTGTCATATAAAATTTAGGCCCAAAAACGGCCCTCCACTTTTCTAAAATATGGTCCTCGAGATTTGTCCAAAAACGATGTAGAACTCATTGGGAGGGGGGGGTAGTATACTGTATGCTTGTGTCAATAACAATTGTAAAATGCTTTGCTATTTGCCATAGCTAACATGAATCAAATAATGGGGGGAAATTTTGCAAAAAGGGCGTTTCCCCGTATTTGCGAGTGTTTTAAGGGCGTGGTTCAAAAAATTCTGGGGGCTGTGCCCCAGACCCCCCTACTTCTGCAGCCCTGGGTACACCACTGGTCTAGCTTGAAAATATCATCTTGTTGTTACAGAATGGCAACCTGCTATTCAAACTCTATGGTCATACAAAACCAATCAACTGCGTATGTGTCATTCACTATGATGTTTCTTTGGATGAAGAAATAAAAGCAGAGGACCTTGGAAATGAGACATCAAGAATCCTTCTCACTGCTTCATTTGACAAATCCATTCGGGTGAGATCCTTTTTCTTTATATAGCATGAGAAAAGGAATTATGGTACATAGCTTTGATTTTATGTGCAATGTTCTCGTTTTTGTGGATTTTTAAAATTTGCGTGGCAAGATGCTAATCTTGGCTTCTATTATTCATAACCTTTTTTATATTTATTCAATTACGTAATACTGCTGCTATAGGTAGGCTATTCCGCCTAGCAATTGACTGGGTTGAATCATCTAGTATTATAATTATACACAGAGGTAAGTATTGAAATATGTGAACATGCTGCTTAGGGGGTGGTTCCCAAAAATATAATGGGACTGATCCCATAATCTGCTGTTCCAAGATATGTGCAAAGTCAAAGGCTCAACATCATCCTAGAACAACCTATGCCAAACAGTTTGCATATTTATTTTTTGTTTTAAAACAACAAATTTTATTTATATCCATAATATCTAGGATATTTAATGTACACATTTAAATTAAATTACCTTTAAACCTTTTTTCTTAGTTCTATATTTTGTTATTGTTTTGTGAGTTTAAAGATAACTAACCTTCTTTAATATCTTTTTTAATTGTATTTTTTTCTAGTTGTGGAGTTTGTGTTATGGAAATTGCCTAAAAGTTATCACGGAACACAATTATGCTGTGAAGGTATTTTTGGATTGGTTTGCCGCTATTTTTAATTCATATTTATTTTGTTTCTTCTACGGTTTTTCTTTTGTAAATTTAGATTTGAAATGAATTAGGTTTATATTGAAATACGACTCTGCACATACAAGGATTCGTGTATTCCTTCATTTCAAAATTTATTCATTTCATTTCTTTATTCATTTATTTGTTTCTATAATACCTCCTTGCTAATTCATTTAAAGTTGCAAAGTTAATTCTTTTGCAAGGTTTTGAAAAGATTTTGGATAACAATGACAACCTTTATAAATTGGAAATTATTCTTCCAATCCTTTCAAAACAAAATCTAAACAGATCAAGAATTGAAAATGGCTTTGAAAAAAGCAAACATTTTACGACATACTAAAAGCTTTTTCGTCTGACACTCCTCAGAGCATAAAACGTCAGAATAAGGTTCCGAAAGAACACGATGGAAAATATATACCCAGTTGTGGATCGAAATAGGCCAAATAGGCGAAATAGGCGAAATAGATCAAAAATTGTTTTCTAGATACAGCCATAAATTCATTTTTACGATATAAGATTTTTTTAGCTTGAAATTTTTATTACGGATTTTACTTTCTGTCAACTTTTATCCATTTTTAGTGCTTCATAAAGCTGAGGGGTGAAGAAACAGAAGCCCACTACTGCTGCGCTGGAGATCATTTGAGCATATGGGATGAAAACATGAAACTTCTTCATACTTATAAAAGGAATAATCCAAATTGTGAGTCATTTTATATGCCAATATCCCAGTTATTCAAATTTTTTCAACAATCCACCTTTTTTTCTTTACTACCGACCCTCCGAAAGTAGTCATTAAGACGCTTGTCGAGCAGTGTCCCCAGGTTGCACAGTATTGCCCATTTTGACAACATTCTGGGTGCGCCAACAGCCCCGTACCATGGTGCAAATAGGTAAAATTCCCCTTGGTCAGAAAGATTAATTTTTCCAGCTTTAAATTAAATATACCTAGTTTTTAGGTGTGCCCTCAAGGATGCCATGTCTGTGTAACTTGGCTACACCATCGCCATGCTCTGCATACTGAATCCTTACTTCTATAATGTAACCACGCCGCATGTTTTCTATGCTTTGAATTACATAGAGCTGGCGACCCTCCTCAATCTAATTGAAAGTTTGGCAATACAAAATCTCAAAAATATTTGTCTGTCGAACCTTGTCCCAGCAACATATTCCTAGGTGAAAGACGAAGGAACCAGGGGCGCAGGGGGCAGTTACCCCTTTTTGCCTACATGTGGCCCCCCACTATCAAGGTTGCGGTAAACGTTTTCTGGATGAAAACATCAATTTTTTAGATTTTTTTCACATCCAAGTAGCCGAACTTTCAAGGCACACATTGATACCAAATTTGAAGCAAACAGAAATTTTGAAGATTGAAAAAATTCCGGATTACACTCTGGTTTACGAGTGTACCTTGCAAGTGCGATCAGTAAAATCCTTTTCTGTCCGGACTTACAATTTCTCTTCATACAGATACGAAAAGCTATTTTGTACCCAAGGAACCAATCGAATGGCTCAAAACTTTGCACACGGCCAAAACAGATGTCGGGTAAGCAAAGAGTGTCTCAAAATTTTTGTATTTGCTCTGGTCCGTCTTTTATAGCCAAATACAGCTATGAGAGAGAAGAAAAATTGCTCGCCAATTTTTGACAGGGTATGGTTTCAAGGAGAGGAGGAATTTGAAAAATATGAGACCCTTTTTGGTAGCTTAAGATCTGCGCTTTCTGCTGATATAAGTCAGATTTTGATACCTCAAACGCAAGGGTACAAAATAGCTTTTGAAGGTGGTACACTCATTTAAGCCAAAAATTTGCCTGGAAAGTATCATTTCACAATCTTTGCCAATTATGTATAGTTTAATCTGATTCCGGTAATAGTTTGCTTTTAGGGAGAGAAAACCAAACATCCTATCAAGAACGTTTACCAGCATGTCAATTTGCATAAACTGTTTCAAAAATCTGTTCATCGTTTATTTTTTAGTTATACAATCGCTGATTTCCATCAAGGATAAGAAGATAGTCACTGCAACAGACCAGTATTACTTAGGTATTTGAATGTTGTTTAAACGTTTTATTGAGTTACAGACAAATACTTGTGTTCAAGAAGTATATTCCAAAAAAATTTAACAGTAATTATTGCTTAAAACTTTTATCCCAAATACACTTTAAAACATCTTTCTCTTATTGTCCACCGCATTCTATATCAAATTTTATATTCATAACTTTCTTCTTCATTGCACTGTCTACCTAATTTCTATTCTACACGTTACACTTATGTGGTATTTTTATCCAACGGTTCGATTCTGCTCTTTTACTTTCATTCCAAGCAGAAAATGCTGTCAGAACTCGCTTTTTTCTGCTATCTATTTAGGCCAAAAATTGACGTATAGATCATTTGGTATAGTTCAGAAAGGCAGCAGTTCATATAACGTAGTCCCTACCTCTCACTGCCACCTGTTCCAGTGAGAACATTGCTAATTTTGTTTCGCATAAAACAGTACATTTACCATTTCTCTAGATCCTATGATGCTTGAGTACATGTATTTCAGCATATTCTTCTTATTCCCAAAGGCCGCAGTTTGAAAGCTCTTTGACATTATCCATACCTTTGTGTCTGTGAAATGGTTAGGGTTCATCTTCACTTCACTTCCTAGATGTTTATTGCATTGAAAAAAGCAGCGAAAGTGTGGAAATTCAATATTCTAGAAAGCTTCCAACACACAGGGAATCAATAACTTGCCTAATTAATATATCTGGTAAGTACAACGCGAAGTAAAAGAAAGATGTGCCATTTTTTTAAAATGATTTTTTCTGATAACGTAATAACATTTGGCTGGCCTAGACGACAACAATTTTGTTCTTATTTTCTCATTCTTAACCTTTTTTCGTTCATTTCATTTTCACATTAAGAATTGTTTGATATAATTAGGTGAAGTAACAAAATAGCTGGAGTGCTCCTCCGCAGGTCAAAAGGTTTTGACTTCGAATCCATGTTTTAAGAAAACAAAAATGCTCCTCGTGTGATTTTGATGCTCGCCTTACGTACAGTTTTGCTGTTAGTACAGAAATTTATGTATTTTTATGGTGAAATGGGGAGGGGGGAGGGATATAGGAGAGGAAGAGCGACCAATACTCGTTAAAACGATAAAAAGACACACTTTCTACCCTCAGGCCCCTACGCTTTATTCCAATGGTCCTATAGGGTGTAACACTATTGATTATTTGATAAGATATGCTCTGTTTTATTATAAATTTAGAAAAAAAATTTCACAAACACATTGCTTCTACTTTTTTGTTTGAGGCATTTTTTCTACGTTGTTCTTTTTTGGCAAATTGAGTCTCTGTTTTCTTATAAAAGTGTGTTTTTGTAAACAAAGTGTTTATCTACGATGAGTATAAAATAAGAAACATGCGTAAACTAAAATTCAAATATGGTGCTTGACAAATATGTACCTTGTATGACGTATATGTTTCAAAACCCTGTCAGATGCCATGTTTGCGTCGGCTTCTCTTGATGGTACGATCATGGTCTGGACGACTTACCATCTCCTTCCGACACGACAGTTCAATTCGCACGAAAATTACAGAGATTCCGAGAAAAAGAAGTTCTTATACAGTGTTAAACATCTGTTTGCTCTTGAACAGGTAATTACAAATATTTACTGAATTTTAATTATATCTGGATTAATGTAAATTGTTATAATGTTTTCATTTATTCTTAGCATCAGTTTGGTAGCATGTATTCAGCCAATCTGGCTATATGGGAATCTGGCTATATGGGAATCGATCATTTGATTCTCGTTTATTCCGTTCTACAAAAGTCAGAATTATGGAATTCATTGCTAAACACTGCACCTTTTCTGCCTTGTAGCGTTACATCTTTGCTGCAATTGCAAATGGATTCTTTGTTTATGACACAATTTCAGGTAAGCAAGTGACATAATGTCAAAATGCTTTCAATGAAGTCAACTTCTTTCCAAGTCCCTCTAAGATCCACCCTCTTAAGTCTCTCAAAGGTCTATTCTTCTATAAGATTGATTTTATTATTTTCGAAGCTCCTCCTATGAATGTTTGATATTTATTTTCATAAAATATATTCTTGATGAGTTAAGTTTCACCAAAATCTCTCAGGGCCTATTGTATTTTATGGTTGATTTTATTTTTTTCAAAACATTAACCTTCTGTGAAAGTTTGAAATACATTTTGTTAAAATATATGTTTGTTGAGGTAGGGTCCACCTAAGTCTGTCCAAATTATATTCTTTTTATAACTTAGATTTTTTTTCTTGAAACGTTAAGCTCCTGTGGATGTTCGAAACAGATTTTGTTAATAATCCTTGTAGTATCACAAAATTTGAAGATAGCACCTAATGGAGAAACATAGCTTTGGACATTCATCTCCAATCTTCCGTGCGATTTTCAATTATATTATTTTCTTCTTAATTCTAGACAAATGTCTCGTTAAGCAACCCAACGCCCATTCCGAGGAAGTAAATCATCTAGCACTGATCGGAGACGGGTTAGTTAGATATAATCAGTCTTTTTCATAATTTCATTCTGTTTCATTTTTTCATTGTTCTGCATTGTTTCGTTTTGATTCATTGTTTCATTCTGTTTTCTTGTTTCATTATGTTTCATTGTTTTGTTATGTTTCATTCTATCGTTTTGTTTCATTATTTCATTCTGTTTCATTGTTTCATTCTGTTTCATTGTCTTATTCTGTTTAATTGTTTCATTCTGTTTCATTGTCTTATTCTGTTTCATTTTGTCCTTCTCTTTCCTTGTATCTTTTGTTTTGTTCATTCATTTCATGATTGTTTCGTCTTTTCCATTCTGTTTTTTCAGTAATTCGCTTGATACAATATTTCTTTTAGATTCGGAGATTCGGCTAATAAATCAAAGCATCTTTTATATTTTATTCATATCTTTTTTCGATCTTTTTCGTTTCCTTCAGGTCAGTTTTAGCAACATGTTCGCTTGATGGAACAACAAGACTGTGGGGTCACCGAACTCCTGTCTCTTCAAGTAAGCACTCGATTGTGAATTCTAAGAAAAATAAGGCAAGCTCGGTGTAGAATTTATTGGTTTTGCACTTTCAAAGAGAATTATCCTCAAGTTCAATGCGATCTACAGATACAGCAACATCAAACCAAACGCATTATTTTGCATAAATTGGTACTCTGATCCATTTACAGGGGGTACAAATCTTTGTATGTCCTTACTTCTATCGTTTCTATTGCCTTCTGGAAGTAATGTATGAATAACGGACCCCTTCCCCCGCCCCTTGCATCGGACAATGTCTCCTGTTCTCAAGGTTTCTGCTATAAAGAGATCACACTGTGCTGCTAGTGTTCATACTAAGAGGCCTTTCCCCTATTTATGTTACACTCGCGCGTCTTTGCAATGCATCCTGGTACTTGTAGTCATGCTGCTCTGCAATCAAGGCAGTGTCAACAATAATATTATTCCAGAGCTGTCTAGTTTCCATACTGCTCGACCTGATGACGTAATTAGTTTACCCTAAACCTAACCCTAACCCTAAACCTAAACGTAAACCTAACCCTAAACCTAACCCTAACCCTAACCCTAACCCTAACCCTAAACCTAAACCTAAACCTAATCCTAATCCTAACCCTAACCCTAAACCTAACCCTAACCCTTAACCTAACCCTAAACGTAAACCTAACCCTAACCCTAACCCTAAACCTAAACCTAATCCTGACCCTAACCCTAACCCTAACCCTAACCCTAAACCTAACCCTAAACCTAACCCTAACCCTAAACGTAAACCTAACCCTAACCCTAACCCTAAACCTAACCCGAACCCTAACCCTAACCCTAACCCTAACATACTAATTTATGACTATTAATCATGCTTACTTATGACTATCAGGTCGAACAGTATGGAAACTAGACAATTCCGATTATCCCTGATTTTTTAGAAGTGATATCAATTCGTCCAAAACATCGATAAAAGGTAGAAAACAATTGTCAGGATAAAAACACGTCTTTACAGAACGCGCCCTGTAACTTGTTTAAAAACTCTTGCCGGTGGAAGATATCTTTTGAAGGCAACATAGGTTTATCTCACTGAAGGTCCTTATTCTTCTGAAGGTCACCCCAATTTGAGAATATGTATCTCACAGGGGATTTTCTCTCTATTATGATGCTATAAACTTTGAAGCGGATTAAGAGGGAAGCGTATTCTGTACGTAAAGGCTTTTCCACTATTTTTTTCATAGCTGGTTTCTTTAAGAAATTGAAGAAGTATTTTCTCTTTTCAGATAGAAGCAAATAATTAAGTGCAGTACTCTTCTACAATATACTTAATATTTTTTGGTCTTGGCTTCTGTTTCTTTAGTTCTTCTTTCTTTAACTTAAATTCTTTTCAGCTCTTTTCTTCATTTATTTGGGAAAAATGAACTTTTAAACGTATCAACTTTTTACTTATAATTAATTTTAATTTTAGACTTCCGTTTATTTTTCTTGTAACTGAATGTTTTATCTTTATTTTTCAATTGCTATCTTTGAGTAACCATTTAAACCTGGAAGTTTGTTAAACCTAGAGAGATTGTTATAATTTTAGAAAAATGGGATCTTGTCTCAAAATTTGCTTTGTTATATTCAAGAATGGCTTATCTTCAAGGAAATTCTCCATTATTAACCTTTCAGGTGACATTTCTGCGCTGAAGAGTGCAGTAACCCCCTTGGAAAGAATTATAGGAAAAAGGTATCATTTATGACTTTCTCTCGCATACAAGCATAAACGTTTGTTTCAAATATAATTTAAGACAACGGGAACCTCTTCTAAAAAACAAAGAATAACTCTAAATCTTCATAAAAATCGTTATTTTGTTTCTAAAGCAACTAATGATGTCAAGTATTAGTGTAATAATACCTTTCTCATCTAATCTGGTTGGTAAATGTTGATTATCCATTATACCCCAAATTCAGTATGAAAATCCCAGTCACATTCTCAAATGTTTATTTATAAGAACTAAGTACTTTCTAATGAGGATCGATGTTATCATTTTCTGGATAATTTTAGGCTCTAATGTTTTCAACACTGTTTTTGTGTCAAAAGTTATTTATTTTATACCTACCTACCATCAAATGTTGCTAGGACCACTAAATAATTGTTTTCACGGTTTATAAGCTGATAAAATGAGCTCTGTTTTGCTAACATAAGTTAAGTTTTTAAACAGGCATTTCTTTTATTCTTCCAAGGTTCTGATCATTTTCTTGCAATGTTCCTATTTTGTGGCAAATCGAATCTTAATGCTCTTATCACGTGTGTTCTGATTAAAAAGCATTTAGAAAAGTTGTTATTGAAGTAAGGCAGGCTCCCACATGCATGTCCGCCCGATGAATTGAACCCAAAGTTCACATTTTTGATGAAGGAAAGCATATTTAACGAAAGCTGGCATGGTTATCACACTAGGTTTATTTGTCCTTTTCAAACCCCAGAAAATCCTAATGTCGTTTTGTCCTTTTGACACGCGACTCCCAAAACACCTCAATGAACAGACCGACCCCTTGAGACCCAACTTTGGAATTTGCCTCTTTTCGATCCAACAGCCTCGTTTGAGATTTTCGGGGTTATTGTTATAAAGGTGTCTTTTCTGATGTCATCCATTAACTTGAATCCCTATTACCATATCCTTTCTTTTCGCTACAGGGTCAAATCGCTGCGTGACAAGCCAACCTCTTTGGAACTTATTGGAGAATGCGCGGGCCATACAGACAGTGTCCAGGTATATTTTCTCTATAGATCTGTTTTCACATTTCAAAGCGATTTGGGGACATTTAGATCCGACCTCGTTTAATCTCGTTCTTGACGTATCTCGTTCTTGATTTATTTGCGGCGTTTTCTTCAGATTAGATGCACAATTAGCAATGATTTGCAATCAATTAGGAATAAATCATAATGTACGAGGGATGAATTTGGAATAAATTACGATAGGTTAATGATAAATTAAAATGAATTGGAAACAAATTACCTTGATCTAAGAATAAATTATCATGAATAACACACAATCACAAACGATCGTGACCTATACGACTTTGAATAGAGTATGTTCCGAAAGCCTATGGATCAAAGCCACTCGACCTACAGTACGAGGCACTGTGAAGATCTTTAGATCTCCAGATATCGGACTTAGTTTGCAAAAAAGACTTGTTATGCAGCTTCAAAGCTATGAAATGGTACTGACACAGAGGTGGCGCCAGAAATCTTCCGACAGAGGGGTTGGAGCTTCCGACAGGGGGGCAAAATGACTAAAATAACGGTTGTCGTACGTTATTTTGTCAAATTTGCTCCGACAATAACCTAAAATTTCCTCCGATGGGGGGGGACTAGCTGCTTCCAACGGAGGGGTTGTAGCCCCCTCCCTCTAGCCCTCCCTTGGCGCCACCACTGTAACTGACACCAGATCTTCTTAAAAAAAACTTAAAACACCGCTAAAGATTTAGACTTTGAGATACAACTCCACAGAAGATAAGCAACGAAGAAGTTTTACAGGGCTGTAGTTTTTATGAATGATGTTTTATCATTATAAGTATAGGTGTTATGTATTTTATATCTGATTATGAGATAATCTTTGTATAAGTAATGTTAAATGAAATGAAATGATCCTAACGTTCTTATACTCTGATTAAGGGGGGGGGGGGGGTTGGGGGCGCAACGAGGGAGACAATGAATCGGTTATATACGTCCGGTACTGGAAATAAGATAGACAAATGTTATTTAGCTATTCATTTTGGCGGAAGGAGTGTACTCATAACATATCACTTTTCTCGTGAATTGATCAACCTCGAATTCCCACATGCTAGCCGCCATATGGAGGCAATGTCTTAATAGATAAATTATCACAAATTATGTAAATTATTAGAAATTATGTAGAGGATAACACCAGGTTTATGCAGATTAGATTATTTGGTTTCGATCGAAGTTTCTTGGGTCCAAGAGCACTTGTTCGAAGTATTTTCAAGTACATGTTCTTGTTTGGAAGCCAATATATTTCCTACAAAGCTCAATAGATTTTCTAAAAATGAATTTCGTTGATTTTATAAATAGAAAACGTATGCTAAATAAAAATGCAACTTTTTTCTCTTTATTAATAGTTTGTAAAAAATGTTAAAATCATTTGCAGTGTTTATCATTTCGAGTCTGAGGTTAGAATTAGTTTTTCAGAAAATATAAACCAAACATAATTGAACTTCATGCTCACTTGCATTAGATTAAAGTTCACGGAATACACTCATTTCTTTATAAGAAACAGGTTATAAGAAGCGGTAGGCTCAATTTTTCGAAAGTTAAGCAACAACCCTACCCACATTGAAAAAAGCTAAGAAACTTGTATAATTTTCAGTTTCAATTTTCTTAGTTGACACTCGAAACAATCACTGTATATTGCAACACTACACTTGATATTCAGTCACAGAATTGATTCAGTTTGCATTCATTCTCAGCCAATTGCACACTCAAAAAGTTTCCATTTAAAAATTTGTTTTGACTTCAACTCGACATTGATAAAGTTCAATGAGCTCAACTGTTCACAGATCTCGACAGGGCTAGTCATTCTAGGAAAATTCAAGCAAAATTCCTTGATCACTTTGTTAGTTCATCTCTGAATGTGAGTGAACTATTTACTTTACCTTGGAAGAATGTTTAAAAAATTCACTACCTAAGAAATTTAAGAAACATGTAAAAAACTTTTGATAGCAAAATGGCCAGAAAATGTAAGAAACTGCCTACCAGCATTAGTTTCTTATAAAAAAACGTGTTTTCTAGCATTAGCATGGAAATATATAGAACTACTCAGCATTCATGACTGTTAACTTTTTAATTATGTTTGAACTTGCTTCCAAATCGAATGTAATCGGTTTTTGAAGATATTAATTGACATTTTTTTTCTATAGAAAAGCCGTGCTTTTGCAGACATATTTATCAATGTCCACATTTCCCGGCCCGTTTTCCAACCCTTTTGTTTATATGGTATTCAAATTAGCGCTGAATTTCCAATGAAACACGTAATCAAAAGTTATGCTTTGAATAGGCACCAGTTGGATGGCAGGTTTTCGGTTGTTTCAAAAATGAAGTGTCGATTCGTTGAAATTTGTGATATGTCTCTCTTGTATATTGTACCCGTAAGTAATTTTGGTAACTGAATTGTTTCCAGGCTGTTTACAAGATTATCACTAATAATTACGGATTTGAGTTCCTTTAATGCAATGAGTTTGTTTGCAGTTTGCTTTCTTCTGGGTTTTCACATTCATTTTGTAACAAACATTTCACATCTCTTAGAACAAATGATCGTAGCGAGATTATTGGGAGTTGATTAGTCACCCTGTTATTTTTATCTTATAATGAAATATTTATAGAATTATGTCCTTGCTTTAAGTGAACTGTTTCAGGCATACGGTTTCGTATTCATCTGTCACGTCCCCATAATTATGCTGCCTAAGTACGAGCATACCATAATGCAATTCGTAGGTATTTTTCGAAGATGGCCTGCGCCGAAGGTCAAATGATTTCCGTTCATAACAGGGTAGTGGTTCCAAACTGGAGAAGCCAACAATGTATAGAAAGTTTCCTCTTACCCCCCATCTAGCCCCAATTGTTGCAAACATTTTGCTGGAGCTTTTTTACTTGTAGACTTGGGTTCAATGTTGTAATTTGTTGTTATCAAAAAGTTTATCTAAAAAAATAATTTGAGCCGATTTTAATCTTTTGTTCAGCAAAAAGTGGGTATGCCATGCCACCTGGACCCCTGTGGCGAGGGCCCTCCATTATTGTCCACAAGCCAACAACCAAAGTTCCAGTTTTATGAACGAATTATTTCTGAAGACATTTATACAAAATATTATTTAATATACATATTATATTGTATATTATATAAACATTGGTAAACCATTATGGCACAGCTATGAGGATTTGTTTCAGTGGAGTCACTTAATTTCAACTAAATTTTCTTATTTCACTCGTTTAAAAGAACAATTGGCAAAGTACAAACGACTTCGTGATGTTTATTTCAATCCAATAACTTTAATCATGTTTACACGCTCAAACAAACGAGCACAGACCACATCAACCGAATTCTCAGAAATGTTTGGTCAATATTTCTCTTTCCGGGTTCATTACATAATAAATGCAAATTTTCCCATGTATTAAACCTTTGTTTTTTTAAGCTTTGTCAAAACATCTAAACACCGTGTCTTTTAGCTCCTTCGCAACGTCCCATCCTTCCTAATGCGCATCTTGAACAGTGATTCTCAAACAATATATTAAACGACTGAATCATCACTGCACTCAACACATTATTCAATTATATAGTTTTTATCTAATGATTTACTCAAGTTTGAAAATGAATTTCCACCGAAGCAAGCACATAGACTTGAAGTAAAACTTTTGTTTTGTTCATAACTTTAATTGATAATGCGTACGTGTTGAAGTCTGTTAAATTCAATGATATTTCAATACGACCTTGCTATAGCTAAAGTCTCGGGGAAATTGGGGGCTGGAGCACCCCTTCCCTCAAAATACCCAAAGTCTTGTAACTTCTACAATAGAATCTTTAATGTGAATTTACAGGCACCTTGCTCTTCTACTAAGCCTCCGCCCCCCTAAATTTATTCGCCTTCCTGGTGTCCCTTTATAGTTTTTATGACTTGACATATTTACCCAGTTCGAAACCCCACTTTCTTTTCAGTCCCATTTATATTCTTTACTATTCATATGTTGCATTTTATTATAGCTAATAGTATCGTGCGGAAAAGAAGGCTTCATCACTTGTGGATTGAATGACCTGGTGATTCTTTGGAAGGTATTCATTCATTCATTCCAGGTAGCTTCTACGTGATCCGTAGGTTGCTAACCATGGTCCTCCAACAAACCCTGTCACTACACCTACTTTTCAGGATACCATTGTTCTGGATGTTAACCCACTCTTTAATATCGTCCATCCAAGTCCTTCTTTGGAAGGTATAACATTTCCTAAACTTGCCAGACACCTCTCTTTTCTTGCGTTTCACTTGAGTACCAGTCCATTCCTCTCCATAGAAATGTTTGACAAAACAATAGAAAAATGGCTTTCTTTCCCAATAGGATTGGACGACACCATTCCCTTGCCAATAATCCAAAAGAAACCAAATGTTACAAAACAAAAGCTCTATTCTCAATCACACTTTTTTATTTGGAAAGTTAAAATCAATCCTATTACATTTTTATTTTTATATTTTATAATCCTAATTAAGTTTGTCTTCCTTTTTTCTCCTTTTTCCACTAAAAATGTTTTCCTTACTTATTAAAAATGCTTTCCTGCTAAGAAAAGGTTGAATCTTAAATTGTGTAATATTATTACTTTTTCTGTAAAACACAAGTGTACTATTAACCAAATGAATTATTTCTTTATCCGTTATTATTTGCACAGGGCACTATGCCTGATAATTTTTTTCGGTTTATCCCAGTGTCTTAGGCAAATTTGATGAACCTTCCTTCAAAATTGTCTTGCTACTTAATGTTTATGCTAATAGCCATGTCAAATCATTTATACCTTTTATAATTACCTTGTCATCATGTTGCTGAATTTTTGTATATCCGCCATTTTAAAATGCTGCCATTTTGAAATGCCGCCATTATGAAAGAAAGCAAAATTCACGATTGGCCTCTAGCCTTTATTTTAGGCACGAAATATTGTACAATCAGAGAAATCTTTTCCCACAAATCCCATGCTTTCCTTTAAAACTGCTGTAAATCTGCCGAACTAAGTGAAATGCGATTTAAATTTGTTTTTTCCTTTTTTGTAGAATGGCGCATTACAAATGGAGAATGAAAATAAAATATTAGAAGATATTTTGAAGGAAACTGACTTTTTTCAACTTTCCTTAAATGAAACTTAATACAGCATTTAAATTGATATTTTCGTAATTTTTTGTATTTGTTTTTTAAGAACGTCAGTATCTTTTTTCGTTTCTCTAGGCTATCGTTGTTTTTATTGATGAAATGAAAACGGCAGGTCAATGCGGAAAGTTGTTTGAGAAACCGGCAAAATTTTTAGCCAGGAATATCGCATTTGACAAGATTTTGACCAAATAATCAGACCGACCTCATCCTCCGTGAGTTGTAGCTCTGAGTTCCGAACCTCCCTCCAAGCACTGGCCAGGGCTAGTTGACTGTACATTTTTGTACAACACATTTTATCCTAAAAATATTGGTAATAAAAATATAGCTAATCGAGCTAGAATGATATTGCTTCCAGTGGCGGATTTAAGTGGGGGGCAGGGGCAACTAGGGTCAGTCACGCCTCCTTCGCCGAGCTGAAGCAAGTCTGGCACCCCTATGTTGGAAATTTTGCGCCCTTTTTGAAGAATGAGAATCAGGTGAAAAAGTTTCTGAGACTAATAGGTTAATTTACTTCAAGGATTACATCAACGTAAATAAAAATTATTGTAAAATTCCTTTACAAAGTCAATAAAGAGCCTTCTGTCAGTAATTAGGGTCTGAAATTGTTGTATACAATCATCGCCAATTTCTGAAAATTTTTCAGCGCCCCCACTACCAACTCCCCCTCCTTCAAATTCGCACTGGATCCGCCCCTGAGTGCTTTGGATCTTAATGCTAAAACTGATTTCAGATAATGATATATGGTAAAAAGTTTACATTGCAAGGACGTTGCCAAGGAAAGCAAAGGATGATTACAACCCAAGGCCGTTACATAAAAAGCACAGAGCCCAATAATTGTCAGGCTGTACTATACTTCCTTTATAACGGTTACGGTTACTGAATGGAAAGCAATACAATGGACACCCCCCCCCCTCCAATATGAATTTCGTTCCGACGGCACTGAGGCGTAAACAATAATTCAAACGTGTTTTTCACAAAAAGCTACAGTCAAATACTGTGGCCGACTTAACCTTTGTTGTCTGGCTAGCACAGGATTTGGTTCCGATAAATTCTCATTTACACTTTGTTTCAAATTATCTTCAAATTTGAAGCAAGAAAAGGCAAGTTGATATTATAAGAGAGAGAAGAATGTGAATTTATATATTTCTATTACAAATTTATAACAACGTGTGGAGGCCTGAATATATTATCGAGTCACTGTAAGAATCCAGTATCTTAATCACCCAAAAACTTTCGCAAACTGGCGTGTTGCCCAGTGGCGGCGCCAAGGTGTGGTATGGTCTACATATTTCGTCTAAAACGGATTAAAAAGCACTAGGTAGGGGCAGATCATATTTCCTAAGTAAATTTGACCTGATACAAAGCACTGAAACGAGGCCAATAGGGCGTGGTCTCACGGGCGACACCCATTATCCTCCCACTCTGCAGCAACTTGCGCCGCCACTGGTGTTGCCACGCGGGATGTCCCTTGTGAGACAGCCCCATTATATTTGCTTGTTATGATGAACAAGGATAACAAGAGAATTCGAATAAGCATGACTCGCGTCTGAATAAGGAATGACTATGGAATGACCTATGAATGAGTCATCGATTGTGCAACAAAAGGCAAAGCTGCGGAGGTGGGATGAGGGAATGAAAGAGCGTTCCGACACTTGGCTACAATGATTTTGAAAACGATATAAAGATTTTGTGCTGGTTTTGAAATGTTTAAGCATTTTCCAGTTTTGTCTTTGAAAGAAAATCACGTTTTATTGTTGTTTCTCAAGGATTCTTGTTAGGACCCATTGCTTCCTATATGTTGACGACTTCTTCTTAATGAGAAAAGAAAACATCATTAATTTGTTGATGGTATTTCCATGTCTCTAAAAGTCCTAAAAGGACCCTCACAGATATTTCAAAATTCAGCAAAATCTTGAACAAAAAGCTCTTAGAGTTTGAAAAGCTGTTCAAATGAAGCACGATATCTACGAGTTGTCAAGAGTTAAAATATCTGAAGGAAAACAGTAGGTAGGTAATCCAACTTATGCAAGGTTCGTCATAGTAGACCAGTTTTAAGGCGGGCGGTAAAGAAATTAGGTTTCTTGAAAAACCGAAATGCCTCATGGGTACGATAACTAAAGTTTTTGACGAGGTTATCATTAGAAATGAATTTCGATGGAAAGATTTTGAAAGGCATTAAATTCTTTGTAAAGAATATTCACAGACTAAATGCATTAAAAAAATGAAAAGAGGTTAAAGCATTATTAAAGATGGACTCGAGCCTTTTAAGAACCGAAGTTATCTTTTTCAGTCCTATTTTGTGAAAAATTTATCTAAAACTGGATGTTTCAAAGTTGTTCTTTTAATCTCCCTACCAAATTGGTCATTCAAAGTATTTAATTCAGTATGTGTTGGCTACACAATCGAGACCGAATACTTAAAGAAAAATAATTTCTCAAACTGAGGTCAATTTATGCCAATTTGTGACACACTATATTTCAATTTTCTTTCTTATCAGAATTTTTTATTTCTAAACATGTTTATGTAATTAAAAGCGACATGAGTTGCCTGACCTCAGCGTGTTTAGCGAGGCATGACTGGATTGTGGAGGAGCATTGGTTTATCAGTGCTTCCGCCTTCGCCCTTTAGCCCCAAATTGGAAGAAGTGGAATTGGAGCGTGATTATTCGTACTTTACTTCAGCAGATTTGAAATTTCTAAATACAATTGTCAACAGAAGGTTATCTGAAAACATGGCTAGTCTGAACACACAAGACATTGTTTAAGAAAGGTAAGTTTACAATGTTGTGAACAATGTGATCACTCCCACACATAGAGAGTATTTAGGCCCATTTTGTGGTCTGGAACGGACTAATTTATTTTCTCATTCAAAGACAAAAGCGAACAAAACTCTTAGACGCGCCATCTTCAAAAAGTCACATTGCTGAAATATTTATGGCTGTAAGTCGTTGTTTTCTACAAGTATTTTAGTCTTTTTATCAGCATAACGAAATAAAAAACAATAGTTTAAGTTAACACCCCTGTGTGACTGCTGTAACAAAAACACTGGCCGGTTCTATTTGGTACGAAAATAGTAAGGTCTTGCCACAAAGTGCCGGTTGTGGATCGTTGGAATAACATGTAAATGTTGGCATAATTGATTAAAAGAAAAGAAACCATAGCTTTTGAAGCAGCAAATTTGTCACCAAGGTGAATTGGCAATTTATGTATTGCAGTTATGTAGAGAATTTTAAAACTTCATATTTTGGACTTACGGTCTTGTTACACCTTTTCTATAAAAGAGAGCTTCTTAAGATAACTTTTATTTCATTGCCTATTAAGAAAAAACTAAAATTTAGTGGCTTGGTGCTTCAACAGAAAGAGTGCAGTTTATTGACAGTAATTTTTTAAACAACAGTGTTATGCTTCAATGAAAATAATGATTATCAAACCTGATAAAAGAAAATAGGCCTTGATGAGTAATGACTTTCTCCAATGATATAAATTAAAGTCTTAATATATATACCTTTCAAAATTTATTGAATATATATCCTTCAGTGGTTTATTGTTGTGTTTACACCAATATTTGATTAACTTATGATTTAAGAAAATTTGCAGTACTAATTGAATGCACCTCACCCTATTTGTGGATATTCCTACCACCAACTTCTTAAATTTTACTTGAATTGTACATGAATCTAAAAGTGATTAAAAATTTAGCATGTAAAAATATTAACATAGCTAAACATAAGTTGTCTATTATTTTTTTTCTAGTTTTTTAGCTTTTTACTTCTTCGTCTTCTGATGTTTAGGCAGACAATTATTTAAATTAGGGGAGGTAAGACAATTATTTAAATTAGGGAGATATAAATGGACTTTCTTATCAAATTTGTGGTTCCAATTTAGCCTTGTCAATATTTATATTCAAATTGCCCAAAAATAGATAGAATTGCTTTTAAAATATTAGAATATTAGAAGTTGTCTGTTCAAAAAAATTCTATTGTTAAGACAGTCAAGCTGTTTAGCTTTTCAATTATATTTCACTGGAATTTTTTGGCTGTAATGAAAAATTTTAACTGCAGCAACAAATTCTGATCAAATCTTTAGCTTTACCTCAATATTCAAAATGTATTTTCTTGTTTCTGAACAATACAAACAACATAAATTGCAGACAAACTTAAACAAGACAATTTCTAATCTAAGTGTGATTTCCATTGTTGACAAAGTTCTGTATATAGTGAGATGCAAAATCGATGACATCAACTGCGAACTGCAAAGTAAACTGCAAATATTTTGTAGTGCTCAACTTTATATTGTCTTTCGTTTCAAAGTGAAACAGCAATCTCCTATAGAAAGATATACAGGAACAAAGCAATACGACGACCAGAATCCAATGTCACGACATAAAATTTTCAAAATAAGTTAAATTTAAAGAATATACTATGTACCTCATTTAACTTAGCTCCTCCTCATTCCCTACTTTGTCTGTCAATATAATCTTAAGCATTCTGCGTTATCACAACAACTCAAAAAATCAATATTGCTTTTCTTGTCTTTGCTTATTATTCATATAAAAGAGTCAAAATAATTTAGATTGAAGATTCAAAGATGACAATAAAATAAAATAAATTTGTGATAGGAGTAATGATACCTTTTCCTGCACATAAATATCTGAGCATTCTAAAGCATGAGCTATATACTATATACCTTATATACTTAGTATATTCTTTAAATTCAATTTATTTTAAAAAATTTTGTCGTGACATTGGATTCTCATCATCGTATTGCTTTGTTCCTGTATATCTTTCATAACAACACTCATTGCAAGATTCACAGAATCCGGCAGACAGCCTATCCTGCAGTTCTTTCTTCTCACACATAATCTCCTATAGGTTGGGAAAATGCCAAAGAATTTTCCCATAGGAATAGGCCCTATGTTTACCTGTGTACTGCTGAAAGATCATGTTTTTGTTTATTGAAGTTATCAAAATATGTGAAAATATTATGAAATATCAATATTATGGTATTTATATATTTTTATGCTGGGTTAGGAAAGGAAATTAACTTGAAATTTTCACTTACGGATTAAATATTGTTGATAAAATTGATGTGACTTTTCATTTTGAAAGTGATAAAGCCATATCAACTATTGTTAGAAAGCCAAAGTGGTAGTTTTCGATTTAAAAAATGATGCTGTTTCCAAAATGAAGTTGTATCATGTTTCTTTGCAAAATCTATTTTGTTTCCCATGCCGAGTTTATATTCCAAAAATTTTTAGGTTGGTCTTCTAAACATGAATTTTCATCTGTGAATATATTGATTAAGATTTTAGCAGTGGCGGCTCCAGCCTGGGATAAATGGGAGGGACAAAAGGTGTGACAGGGACCCCCCTTTTTGGACCATGCCCTTTGTCCTTGTTTGAAACATTTTCTTCTAGAGGAAACACCTCTTGCCCCCCAAGAAATGTCATTTAAATGTGACGATCTAGATAACTTACATACCCCCCCCCAAAAGTTTTCTGATCAGGTTTGCATAAATCTCAAGGACCAACTTTCTGAAAATGTGGGGGGGGACTAGTCCCCTCCATTCCCCCACCCCCCATGGCTCTCCCACAGGATTTCCGAATGTGACCTGAAAAGAAACTTTCAGAGAAATTTTAAGATAAAAGTTCTAGATTGAATAATATTTTTTACCTTCATAGTCTCTTACCAAGGGGCTCTGTCCGTTTATCACTCCTTATTTAATTGAATATTGGTACTTGGCAATTCTAAGACGAAAGCAAGCAATAAAACCTAAGTAAACACTGAAGCTAGATCGTCATATAGCAATGTTAAGATAATCGCAAAAAAAGTTTGTTTTTATATTATGTTCAAGTCCAAGAATTCCTATGGGTAATATTAGAAACATGTCCTGGTTGATTAAGAGTTTAAACTGGCAGCATTTTCAGTACTTGGTATATTCCTTATGATCAGGAGGTTTCCCCACTTACCAGCAACTCCCAAAAAACCCCACCAGAGATTTTCAAAACATGCCCATATGTGGTGAAGTCATCCTGGCTTGCCAAGAAGTGGTTGTTCAATGTGGTTTGCAATCCTCGAGGGCAAACAACTCAAACCAAACCGACCAAATATTTGATGGTAGTCTGTAATTGTGATCTTTTGGCTGTTGGGAGAAAAACTTTCCACTCAATTTTGGTGTCAGTTGTGTTTTCTGGTAGACTTATTACAAGATTTTTGCACTGGGCAGAAGCAAATTTTGCACTAAGCTATTCAGATTAGTTTCTTATGGCCATGGAATTATATTGAATATTCTGATATAAAATTCTCTTCTAGACTTGGCAGATATAGGTTTAAATTACAGACAAGTTTAACTTTTAAAGAAAACTAACTTTATTTTTACTAGATTTGCTTCAAATGGAACTGATGTTGCTGGCCTCAGATATTTAGTTGGCAGAAAAGGTATCATTAGTCCTATCACAAATTTATCTCATTTTATTGTCATCCTTGAATCTTCAATCTAAATTATTTTGACTCTTTGATATGAATAATAAGCAAAGACCAGAAAAGCAATTTTGATTTTTTCGAGTTGTTGTGCTACCGCAGAATGCTTGAGATTATCTTGACAGACAAAGTAGGGAATGAGGAGGCGCTAAGATAAATGAATACATCAAGACAACTAAAACATTGTTGCAAAAAGGAAGATGACACTTTTTGGACATGAAGTTAGAGAATCCTGTGAAAAAGTATTTTGTAGCATTGTTTATGGCTACATCCCACAACCCTGATCACCAGGTAGGACAAGAAGAATATTGCCAGATAACATAAGGGCATTGAGTTTTAAAGAGATGATGTCAGGGGCAGATCCAGAGCAAATTTGAAGGAGGGGCAGTTGGTAGTGGGGGCGCTGAACAATTTTTGAAATTGGCGACAAGAGTACGCTTTAAACAACAATTTCAGATACATTTTTGGACTAAACAACATAACTTTCAGGTGTCATTCTTGAATCAAATTAAGCTATCGGTCTCAGAAACTTTTTGACCTGATTATCATTCTTAAAAAGGGGCGCACAATTTCAAAAAAAGGGGTGCCAAACTTGCTTCAACTCGTTGAGGGAGGGGCAACTGCCCCTAATTACCCCCCCCCCCCCTTAAATCCACTGGTTGATGTCACACCTTAGAACTCTATGCGCTTATGTTGATTACTATGGTGATTTAAAAGGAATAGCAAACTGCAGAAAATTGGTAGAGGAAAACGATTGGCAACCTGGTAGAACCAACCTGGCATGAATGAAATATGAATAATCTGAAATGGCAATCTATAAAAGGAATCTAATTTGGTGAAACTTGTTTGCTTTGTGTGTTTCTGAATATTCACTCTTCTCTATTTTTAGAGTAAAGCAAACTGTTATTGGGAAAATGGTAAGCTAGTTCTAAACAGACCTATATCTGTTTAATAATTACATTTGTGACATAATGAGATTTTCAACACAATTATATATATTACTTTTAGGATATTTATTTCTTTGCCTTTCTCTACAAAATAAAAAAGACACACTTTGACCCAATTACTTTGAGAAGAAGAAACATTTTTGTTATGCTAATCTTAAATTGTAATCTTATTTATAATACTTTGTAGCTTTATGTCTTATTTTTGTTTATAAAATATAGTGTAGAAAAACAATGGCTTTTTATTTCCTTTCTTTGCACATTCAGGCTGAGTTGGAACCAGGAACCCAATGCATGGCTGTATATGAATTTAAGGGAGCCAAATCAAAGGTGATATTCATTGAGCAAACATTTAATTTTTGATAATTTTCCTTTGGTGTCCCTAACTGTGAATCTAAATTGCTAATACCAAACAAGTTAGAATCTTTTAATGCATCAAAATTTATGTACAAAAGCCAAATAACAACTATAATTTTTGTTTTTTCTCTTGAATCATACTTAATCTAGATTTTCTTACATTTTTCAGGATCTTCCTTTTGCAAAAGGAGAAATACTATGCATTTTAAGTGCAACCAAGGTGATTTTGAAGTTTCTTTGTTGAACCAATCAATTTATGCTATCATTATTTTCTCATGTGAAAACCATCCTTTATTGCCAGATTTTTTTCTTTTTCAATATTTCTTTTGAATATGAATTTTGTTTCTATCTAGTAAAGATTTATTTTTTCATAATATATGTGCCTCTATGTAGTTTAATAATTTTGAATATTATGTAAATAATGCAAAATACCACGATTGCAAACTGCTTGACAAACTCCAGTAGGATACTTGTAATGATAATTTGATAAAATGTAGAGAAAAAACATGCCGAGAATGAATATAAACAAGCAAAACTAAGTTATAGATAGCTATTGATAGAATATAATGAAAAATGCTTAAGTCTTTGGTGTGGAGTGTGTTATTGTACGGGTCAGAGCCATGGACACTGAAAAAGGAGGATATCAGGAGATTGGAAAGTGCAGAGGTTTTGGAGGAGCATGGTAAAGATCAGTTGGACAGAAAGAGTGACAAATTAGGAAGTATTGTAAAGGATTGGAGAGAACAGAACATCAATCTCAATCATATATAACCGGCAGAAGAAGTGGATTGGTCACATTATGAGATACCAGGGACTACTAAGGGATGTCATCGAAGGGAAGATAAACAGCAAAAGGAGTAGAGGAAGGAAGAGAATTACATTGTTCGATCATTGGTGTAAGAAAGAAAATGGCAGAATTGAAACATATGGAGAAATCAAGCATAGAGCTGAAGATCCTGATGTTGGCGCATGTGGCACTGAACCTGCCTCGCGGCAGACAACTAAGGAGAAGAAGAAAGCTATTGATAATGTTTAAAGTTGTTCATGCTGAAGTATTTAATTTGTAAGAATGTTATGAGTATTAAAGTTATTTATGCTGAAGTGATTATGCTTAAAGATGAGAATTTTTTTTTCACAGGACCCAAACTGGTTTTATGCCAGAAGGCAATCCGACAAAAAAGAGGGCATAATTCCAGCTAATTATGTTAAAAAGCGAAAAGCAATGAATCTTCATGCCATGCCGTAAGTAATAGACCTAGATATGATGTTTTCATTAAATGCAGTGCATTCTCTTTGTGTAAGAAACATCACATTGAAAGTTTTTACTTGAAGCTGTTCCTTTTCTTACAAAGGAACCTGTTTGAAATTTCTTTTTTTCTACAGTTGAAATAGAAAGAAATTTATTTTGTCGAAATCAGTAAGAAACTTTAGCAAGTCGTATTTTTGTTAGGATATTTAATTTTTCAATTTTGCTTTTAATTTTTTAAATTTTTAATCTGAGAAATTTAAAAGTTGTCGTTTATGACCTAGCTGTTTTGTATTTTTCGACACTTTGTTCATGTTTTTTTCATCAGCGTTTCACGCATTCTTTAATATTCTTTGTACGGTATATTTTAATTTTGTTGTATTTGTTGTGTCGTATTTTTACTTTCATTTGATGTATAGAACAGGCTTTTAGAATTCGATGCCGTACAGGAAAAGCTATTCACGTTTTGGCTAGTGGCGGACACTTGAGGGGGCCAAGGGGGCGGTCACCCCCAAATATTTTGAAGGACAATGGTCTTTTGTTCTAAACAAGAATAAATTGTCACGTCATTTTATCAAAGCAATAGGCTTGCCCCCCCCCCCAATGTTTATATATTTGACCAAGTGTCCGCCCGCCCCTGGTTTTGGCCTATAGAACATTACAGTTCAATGTTTCTTCCCCGAGTTTCACGCTTGATGCGATCATCAGGAAATTTGTGATGTGTTTATATACTGTGGTTTTCCTTAGATGGTTTTTTGGTAAAATAACGAGAGAGCAGGCGGAACAATTGCTCCATGGTGAACCTCCAGGATCTTTCTTGGTTAGAGAGAGCACAAATTTTCCAGGAGATTATACTTTATCAGTTTGCAGGTTGGTTTATCAATATTTTATCACTAGCTACGTTTTCAAAATGTCTACAAAAATCTCTGTATGATATTTGCTTTTGAATACAGTCATCGCTTCATTTTTCATTTCAGTTTTTATTGAGCTTCCTGTTTTAACAGGATCTGATGACACAAGGGTGAATGGCCAGCCTCTGCTTTTAAATGAGCCCCCTCTCAAATAGGCCCACCTCTCGAATAACCCCCTTTAATATTGTCAGATTCAACGCAACCGGAAATTGCTAACTACCTCTTTTTCTCGTGAATTTTCATTTTGCACAAGTTTAATTTGTTGGACTCATGCATATGTCGACTTTCTTCTATAGGCAATTGGAACTGATTAGGCAGCTAAAAAAGTCATGTGCTCGTGTTTAATATTTTTACTTTCTTAAAATTTTCTATCATTAAACTGAAGTTTTATACTTTTTCGAGTGTAAGAAAAAAATATTTGATATATTTTGAAGGAAGCTTTTTCAAAACCACATGTCGAATGTTGTCTGTTGCGATGAGCTCTACTATTTATATTTTTGGCGGTGCAGAACTTGAAAATGGCCTTGAAAAAAGCAAACATTTTACAACATATTGGCTAAAAGCTTTTTCGTCTGACACTCACCAGAGCATAAAACGTCAGAATAAGGGTCCGAAAGAACACGATGGAAAATATATACCCAGTTGTGGATCGAAATAGGCCAATCAGAAAAACGCAAGCACAAGACCGGTATAGTTGACCAATCAGTGCCGCGAGCCTAAAGAAAAATTACCAATGGAGTCCAAGAGAGAAAACGAACTCCTTCTGTCTACACAATAGCTGCTTTTTCGTTTGTATGTAGATCGATTCCAAAACTGCTAGATGAAAAGACGACCGGGCTCTGCCAATTATCCGAAACATGTCGTCATTTTTGAGTTTAGCACAACCTTGTTTGTCTAAAAGATGTTAACCGATGGCAGAATCACTTGTTTTAACAGTGTTTCCAGACCTACAAGATCGAGGAGGCTGTTCTCTTTGAGGGGCAGTTTTGTTTCTTATGTTGGAAGGAGCAGGTTTTTATTCCTATCCCCCAATCTTTGGGTTGTGCGTCCTACGTAGCCAGAATCACACTGGCAGGTATATTCACAAATAACGGAACGTTTATTCATTAATAACGGAACTTTTTTTAAAGCCATATTTAAATTTTGCTGGCCCTGAACACCCGAATTGTATTTGATGATGTCATTTGTATCCATATAGTCCTGCTGGTGGCAAGACAGAGCATTACAGAGTGCTATCGAGAAAAGGCATGCTTACAATCGACGAAGATGGATACTTTAACACACTTCCTAACCTTGTAGAGGTAAAAATCTTTGAATATAGCGAACAGTGTGTTCATTTATCACTCGAAAGTAACTTTCCCAGTAACTAAATCGGGATTAATATGCAGATAAAGTAGGATTAGACGACCAATATTCCCAGTGGCTAAATCTTTATGAAAATATCAAATAAATAACATTGATTTTCTTCCTTGAGGATATTTGTGACCTTGTAGAGGTGAAAATCTCGCAATTTAACGAAAAATTTAAAAATCTGAATAGGATTGATAAAGTTCTGTTTGTTCGTTTATCATATGAAGGCGCCTTTCGCAGTAACTTTATTGCGGATAAGAATATCAAATATTATAATATTAATTTTTTTCCATGAGGATATTTGTGAAATCGTAATCTTGTAGAAATCCGTCGAGACATTTTTTCATCTTTCGTTTTTTTCAGCACTACATGAAGGACAACGATGGTCTTTGTACAATTTTAACGCAGCCGCTGAGGAAAGATAAACATAAAGAAATATCGACAACTGTTTTCATAGAAACATTTAAAAAAGGTATCACGAACTCTTTTCAGTTAATAATTGGTTACAGGGGTTGTTAGAGGGGATTTTGTCAAGATTGGTTCCATCACTATCTGCATTACTGAAGAGGTTGGAACAGAGCAATCTCCACTTACCCTTTTGCAAAAAATGGTAATTGGGGACCTTTGAAGCTATTCGGGCTTTCTAATACGCAGTGTCGTATTAACGTCATTGTCGTCTGAATATGGCCTGGAAATTTCATTATTCGGTGACCCATAACCTATCTTGGCAGTTTTTGTCCCTGTGTATTTCTAGTTTTCTCGAAATCGAAAAATGTATCTCTTCTTTCACTTTAAATTTGTCAAAATTTAGGGATATTCCCCTATACGGAAGAAGTTTTATGAACTTATATCACAGTTAAACCTCAGTTTTTAAATAGGAAATTAGAGTTTTTTCATCATAACAAATTTGTATTTTTTTATCTTTTGCAGAGGGCTGGGTTGTTAATTGGAGCGATTTATCAAAGCAGCTTGATGTTATTGGGAGTGGGGAATTTGCAGGTAAGTTCGTCGGCTTACGGTAGGGTACGGTACGGTACGGTACGGTACGATACGGTACGGTACGATACGGTACGGTACGGTACGGTACGGTACGGTACGGTACGATACGGTACGGTACGGTACGGTACGGTACGGTACGGTACGGTACTGTACTGTTTTCCTTGTTTTTTAGGTTTTTGGAAATATAGTGATGTATAAAATATAAATATATCAATAACTGTATGAAATATATTAATAACAGCCCGTTGGTTGGATGATTGCTTGTGTAATTTTGATTCGCTTTTTTCTAATGCTTTTTTTGCTATCATTAGAATTTATTTCATCCAGTGGCGGACACTTGGGGGGCGAGGGGGGCCACTGCCCCCCTAATACTTTAGAGGATAATGGTCTTGTGTTCTAAAACAATGGGAAATGTGATGTCATCTTATGAAAACAATAGGCTTGCCCCCTCCCCCCAATATTTGACAAAGTGTCCGCCCCTGATTTCATCTATCTACTTATTTAATATATTTCATTGTTTTTAATAGGTATATTTTTCCTTACACGACACAAACCAAGCAGTAAAGTTTGAAGTTTTTATTTGGATAAATCGTCTTTATTTTGGGCTAAATGAAATTTTCTCCTTCACAGAGGTATATAAGGGCACTTACAACGATCAGAACGTTGCAATCAAGAAACTTAAAGATGATAGCGAGGCTGCACAGTCTTTCCTGTCTGAAGCTTCTGTGATGACGTAAGTCTTTCCAACTATTTGTTTCTTTAATGTGCAATCTGACTTGTCTTCGATCCTTTACCTGCCCTCTCCCACAAGAGTGGAAGTAAAATCGCGTTGAAAAGAGAGGGTTATGTTGATGAAATTCGAACAATTTTTTTGCGGTACAGAATTTGAAAATGGCTTTGAAAAAAGCAAACATTTTACAACATACTTAAAGCTTTTTCGTCTGACACTCCTCAGAGCATAAAACGTCAGAATAATGGTCCGAAAGAACACGATGAAAAATATATACCCAGTTGTGGATCGAAATAGGCCAATCAGAAAAACGCAAGCACAAGACCGGTATAGTTGACCAATCAGTGCCGCGAGCCTAAAGAAAAATTATCACTGAAGTCCAAGAGACAAAACGAACTCCTTCTGTCTACATAATGGCGGCTTTTTCGTTTGTATTTAGATTGACTCCAAAACTGCTAGATGGAAGGACGACCGGGCTCTGCCAATTATCCGAAACATGTCGTCATTATAGAGTTTTGCACAATCTGGGTTGTCTAAAAGATGTTGACCGATGGCAGAATCACTTGTTTTAACAGTGTTTCTAGACCTACAAGATCGAGGAGGCTGTTCTCTTTGAGGGGCAGTTTTGTTTCGTATGTTGGAAGGAACATGCTGTTTTATCCTATCCCCCAATCTTTGGGTTGTGCGCCCTACGTAGCCAGAATCACACTGGCACGTAAATTCATATACAACGGAACTTTTTTGTTTGGTAGGGACGCAATCCTTTTGAATGGATGGAAGGGCTCTCCTAGTGCTGTAAACAATCCGAGGATTGACAGCAAAGAAACAATTGGTTATGGCTTGCCTAATTTGACTCTCGAATCGCAAGGAAGTGTTACCAATCCATGGTAGTTTCAAACTACCATGGATTGGTAACACTTCCTTGCGATTCGAGAGTCAAATTAGGCAAGCCATAACCAATTGTTTCTTTGCTGTCAATCCTCGGATTGTTTACAGCACTAGGAGAGCCCTTCCATCCATTCAAAAGGATTGCGTCCCTACCAAACAAAAAAGTTCCGTCATTTATGAATTTACGTGCCAGTGTGATTCTGGCTACGTAGGGCGCACAACCCAAAGATTGGGGGATAGAATAAAACAGCATGTTCCTTCCAACATACGAAACAAAACTGCCCCTCAAAGAGAACAGCCTCCTCGATCTTGTAGGTCTAGAAACACTGTTAAAACAAGTGATTCTGCCATTGGTCAACATCTTTTAGACAACCCAGATTGTGCAAGACTCTATAATGACGACTTGTTTCGGATAATTGGCAGAGCCCGGTCGTCCTTCCATCTAGCAGTTTTGGAGTCAATCTACATAAAAACGAAAAAGCCGCCATTGTGTAGACAAAAGGAGTTCGTTTTCTCTCTTGGACTCCATTGGTAATTTTTCTTTAGGCTCGCGGCACTGATTGGTCAACTATACCGGTCTTGTGCTTGCGTTTTTCTGATTGGCCTATTTCTATCCACAACTGGGTATATATTTTTCAAACGTGTTTTTTTCGGAACCTATTCTGACGTTTTATGCTCTGAGGAGTGTCAGACGAAAAAGCTTTAAGTATGTTGTAAAATGTTTGCTTTTTTCAAAGCCATTTTTTGATGAAATTCATTATTTTGTTTTTGTTATATGGAACTAAAGTTAAACTAACGTTTGTGTTGTCAATTTGTTACATACGCCAATTCCAAGGAGCCAAACAATTTTTTCACCCTTCTGATAGGGACACGCAGTCAAACAAGAACTGATCCTAGAGTGAATACTATGACGCCATCATAGCACTATATCAAAGACCGATGTAAAATTCAAATTCAACTGTATCTTTATAAATTGCATATCAAATGTCATAAGTCGTACAGTATATGTTTAATTTGTAAGAGCTATGCGATTGGATCAGTTTCTTGTGTAGCGGTTGCGTAAGGTAATCCATGAGGAATGTGGACAACATGCAAGAGGAAAACAAGGGAAACCAAACTAGCTTCGATGAAGCATAGCTTTTTCAGTTCCTAAAAGCTACCTTCGGAAGCTAGGTAGCAAACACTGTAGTACAGTAGGTACGGTACGGTATGGTAGCGGACGGTACAGTGCAGTGCCAGTGCATGCAGTACAGTACAGTACAGTACAGTACAGTACAGTACAGTACAGTAAGTACAGTACAGTCAGTACAGTACAGTACAGTACAGTACAGTACAGTACAGTACAGTACAGTACAGTACAGTACAGTACAGTACAGTACAGTACAGTACAGTACAGTACAGTACAGTACAGTACAGTACAGTAAAGTACAGTACAGTACAGTTCAGTACAGTACAGTACAGTACAGTACAGTACAGTACAGTACAGTACAGTACAGTACAGTACAGTACAGTACAGTACAGTACAGTACAGTACAGTACAGTACAGTACAGTACAATACAGTACAGTACAGTACAATACAATACAATACAATACAATACAATACAGTAAAATACAATACAATACAAAACAAGAAATATACAATACTATACAAGGCTTATTTATCTATTATTCCATAAATCTCTTCGGATGTTACCGGGTACCCTGACGAAATACCATCCAACCAAAACTGTGTGCATTAAATTTTGTGATTATGATCTCATCTTGTGTGATTCCATAGTATTATTTTTCATTTCAGTACGCTAAGACACAAGAACCTGGTTTTATTCCAAGGAATTTGTTTCAATGAAGGCAGCCTTTATATCCTCACTGAATTTTGCTCCAAGGTATTTGGTACAACTTGTGTCTTTTTACTTCCGTTAATGTGGTTTCTAAACGATTTGTGGCCATTACATATCGCTAATAAGATTGGTATGTTTAGACGTTTTTGTGACAATTAATGGCGCTTTCTTTACATCTTAGATGGTTTTAATTCGCCACACATACCGGGCTGCTTCAGAGTTGAAGACAATGGACAGATACTAGAGTGACTGAAGGCATCCGTCATTCTACAATTGGCCAATCATCATGCGTAATTCCACTCAGACGCTTATTGATTGGCCAATGATTGATTGATTGATGGCATGAGCCCCTTGAGAATCTGTCCACTGTCTTAAAAGTAAATATTGGCAGTTTTCGTGTTACGTTATAAATGAATCACTCCGTTGCTTAGGGAAAGAATCTCCTACTATATTTTGTTTATGAACAAAAATCTTGTGTTTCAGCCTCAGTGAAACTTGAATTTGTTGTTGTTGTGAAATTGAAGTATCTAGGCCGATATGGTCCTGAACTGCTTACAGTACTACAGCGAATTACAATTTTACAATTACAATTTTTAAGCTACGCATCAATAACAAAACAACTATGGCGAATACAAAGCTAAATTTTCAGCAAAAGCTACTCAACTACAAAATTATTAGCTGTTAAAAATTGTGGGGTCGCTTAAAAATTGTGATCTTTTTTCAAAGGACTTTTTGCAGAAATTCCCTAAAAGCTTTGTTGTAATATCCTAGTTCTCTGCAAGAAGTATAGATGTACTCTCAAAATATGGAAATATGGTATTATGAAAGCGCAGTTTTCTCCAATATTATTCAGAGTGCGGAGAACAATTGTCTCCGAATGAAGAAACCTATTCTATTTGCTTCAGATCTCCAAACGCACAATGTTTTCTGCATGTTTCTCACGTTTGGTATTGCTAGCAAAATCCCACTTTTTTCGATTCACATCAGGATAAAATTTCTGCTTACCTTCGGTCATTATCTGACGTTCCAATTCTAAGGAGTGTCTGGTCGAAAGTGTTTTATCATGTTCTCTAATGTCGCCATTATAATGTACCTGTTATCTACCCTAAATCCATGATTCGCCTGCCCTAAACTAGCGCCTGTCAAGTGAAATGGTGCCATGGTTCACAAAGTGTTTGTTTTATAAGCTTATTTTTAGAGTATGTACGTTGCGTGTGATACTTCATCCAGAATTAAGAAGTGAACAACGAGTACATGCTCGAAACTTCGTGTTTTTAACAATCAAACTATTATATTTTCATTCTGGTACTAAATTTATTTGCTAACTATATTATCGTTATTTGTAAAGTATATATCAAGTGCTGTTCATAGCCAGAACCAGATGACGTCATGTCTTTTTCTGCTGTGGACGGCACAGAATATTGTATTTTGTTTTCGTTTTAACCAGTGATAAAAAAATCTTTGTCATGTTATGTTCCAATTTACTTGCTATATCCAATCCTCAACATCTATTTATATTTAACAACCTTATTTAAAGGGTGCACTTTTGGATTATCTGCGTTCGAGGGGAAGAGCTCAGATAACACATGACCAACTGCGTGGCTTCGCAAGGTAAGTGGCTACCATTTTGCTGCCCTGTTTTGAAACCTCTCTGTCACGAGAGTCCCTAACGAGGCTAGAGGGCATGTAATGGTTTCCATTCCTTTATGACTATATATACTTTTACATATCCGGATTAAACAGGCAAGGGAGGCACCTACCTTACAGTGACGTCACAAGAGGCGATTTTTCAAACTTGTGGGGCAAAAAAAGTGGTGCAGACATTTGAACAGGCTCAGATTGTGCCAAATTTAATGGGGGTAACGGCCGCATGAAGTTTGCTCTGGGGTACCATCTCTTGTTCCTAGCTAACAACCGATTCATTATCACAAAGTAATATCGTTTTTCACGAGTAGTTATCCTCAGCGATATTAAATTCTCCATTTGCGGCTCTTCTTCAGAAATAAGGAAAAATACAAAAAGTTGAAAGACAAAACAAGTTACTTTCTCAATCATTTTTCTTACATGGGATTTTTCTTTGCTTCTGTAGCTGGTAATGTATTAAAGTTTTATTTTGATCGGATGTCCAAAAACGTGTTATTTTCCTGACGGTAGTTTTCGACCCTATAAACGATATGTTATGTTTGTTTACCGCGAGTACTCGAATAACCCCCCACCTTTGAATAAGCCTCCCCCAATATGCCCCTCATTTATGTTAATTTTTGTCAAATAAGCCCCCACCCTCGAATAAGCCCCCGTGGGCTGAGATATTGCCCCGACAGCAATAGGGCTATCCCAGTTTATCTGCATTTTTAAGCATACTGACCGGAGGCCATACTCAACCTCCACCTCCGGAGTAGCCCCCACCCCATAATTCATTTTGCGAAAAAGGCCCCGGGGGCTTGTTCCAGGACTTACGGTACTGTAATTTCAAGAGCTTGGGTCGCTCGCACAATCAACAAAACGAAACCCCGTACGAATAGCCGCTTCTGGTTGGCTGAATCGCCAAGATGTGGACAACCAACGTAAAGTACTGAGCAAAAATTACTCAAACTCTCTTTGACAAGAATTCAATACCAGCCTCTTTATAAAACTGTGGTTATCTGTTTAAGAAGAATTGTAATGAAAATGTGATGTTACCAGTAGTATGAGAAGATAATTCCACATTTCTCTGTTTTAGGGATGTTTGTGAAGGTATGTGGTATTTGGAGCAGAGAAAAATTGTTCATAGGTAAGTCACTAATTTTTAGATTTGTCCATTTCCATCCAAAAAATGATTCTATGAAACTGAGAAGACTTTTTTGGCAAGCAGGACCTGGTTCTGTTTGGTCATGTCCCTGTAACTTGATTGTGATAAAAAGAAGTCCCTTCCCATTCTTTATGACAGAAATAAAGGAAGTTCTCTTCTTGCTTTGCAAAAAATCCCATTGTTTTCCTTTTCATAGCGCTGTACCCAGTCCTGAACTGTTATCAGTTTATCACCAATATCCCGAAACCAACCAGCGACCTCGATCTGCCAACTTGGATTAAAGAAACCTTTGTTCTCCGCTCTCTATTTTTGGTTGAATGCAGTGATAGAAGGATTTATGGCTTTTTATTATAACTAATTTATTTACAGTAGAAAATTATATTTGCTGCCTCAAAATAGCTAATGCTACGGATATATGTATAAAACCAGAAAACGACTTTTATCTAACAAAATTAAGTGAAATCTAAGGAATATTCAATTTTGTCAGATAGAGTTAAAATGTATTAATGTATGGTTTTCTTTTTCAGGGATCTCGCCGCGAGGAACGTTCTGCTTGCAGATGACATGACAGCCAAGGTACGTCGATTATACTTTCTTCGTTTCCCTTTTCTTTCATCATAAGAATGTCTTGTCACATTTTACAACCCTTAAGGCCCTTAAGACCCCGTTTACTCTGTGCCGGATAAATCTTATCCGCATCAATATTAGTTTAGATAATTGTCGCATTTACACTAGACCCACGCTATCCGCACGAATTTGAGAGCGGCTATCCGAACAAAATTAGTTCACCTAGGTAAGTGGATTAAATTTGTCTCCCAATCAAGACTTTTCGCAGTGTCAAAAGTGCAGTATCTTGCCAGTCCACGTAAAATTGGCATCCTTGTCAGCTTTCCCTACTTTCGTTGCTAGTTCAGTGTCATTTTGTTTCAAGAAAAAACTATTAAAACAATCTAGGTCTAATTTGTATTTACAATGTCTTTTCACGTTTTAGGGAATTCTGTTTTTATTTTGTTGCCCAGAGAAGACTTCATTTTAGGCATTCTGTGCATGATTTAGGTCATGTGACTGCAGTTATCGGGCACAGTGTAAACGGGAGGGCAAAGTGGACAAAATTTTTGCGGCATAGTGTAAACGCAAATCAATCCGAATAAGTTTTATACGGATAAATTATATCCGACACAGTGTAAACGGGGTCTAAAAGCAATGGAGCGAAGCTAAAGTTGCTTAAGCCATGTGTCAATCAATTGTTGACCAATCGATAACCGTGTGAGTTGTATCACGTGTATTGACTGGCCTAGGCCACCGCCAATCATTAACATGGCACCGGGAATTCAACTTTTGTTAACATGGGAATTCAACTTTTGTAGGCGATTCCCAAAGTGTTCGGCAACTCTTTTATGAATTCTAGCTTGTGAGGTTGGTTCATTAGGCGGTTGGCTATTTCATTTGGTCCCCCGTCTTTGCCAGTGTGACCGGGGGTATTTTGTGACAATTGTTTATAATTTTCTCCATGAGTACTAGTCTTGGGCTCTAGCTCCTGGGACGGGGGAGAGACGTGCAAGTGGCGAGTGTTAAACCTCCGCCCTTTGCACATAGTATAGAATTTGACCCCTACTCAACCTTCTACTTTATCTTCCTGTACATGTACATAAAAGATCTTCTTAATCACACAAAGTCGTTTCATTGCATCACAATTAGGATTGATATTTGTCTGTCCTTTTTTGCTTACACTTTTATTACTAGAACGCCATCTTCGGCTAATTTTTATTTATGCATAATTTGAATATATTAAAGGTTGCTGATTTTGGCCTGGCTAAGGACCTCAACCAAGACACTGCAGCAGAGAAATTTCCTGTAAAGTGGACGGCTCCTGAAGCCATAAAACATAAAGTGAGTGCAAGTTTATTTTATTTCAATCTAACCTAGGTCATGGCCTTGCTTCTTAGTTTCCTTACTTGTGGACCTTTTTTGACCACATTCTAGTACGGTCGGTTTCTTAAATCCATGTGTGGTTTCTTAATTTTAGCTGTACACTTTGTTTCATGGTTATACCTGGACTATATCTGGACTAGCTGTATCTGGCTTTGTGTGATTGAGCCTTAATTCCTTTTGTTATCATTAACGCTCGCGAAGACCTGTTTTAGTTTGTTTATAAAAATGGCCCTTCAAAAACGAGAATCTGATTTAAAAACTTACACTAAGTAATATGAATATTATTGTACTCAAACCAGACTCTTCTCTTCCTTTCTTTCTAGCAATATTCAACCCATAGCGATGTTTGGAGTTTTGGTGTCTTACTGTGGGAGATTTATTCTTTTGGAAGAAACCCTTATCCAAGAGTAGTGAGTTTTTTTATTCCTTAAAAAAACTTAAAAAAAAGTTTATTTCTATGCTGTCTCAGAAAGACCTTTTGCTCCCTGATATACTATTAGTTGGCCAGAGACTGGTCACATAAAGGTACCTCGTGCTAATTTTTGGAACTTTTTGTCCACGGCGAGTATCGGTATTGTATTTGTATTTGCATTTGAAGATAGGTTTTAGGATACTGAAGTGCTGTGCTTATCGAGCATTGTGTTGGGCCTTCCTCTCGCTGTGACCACACCTTGTGATTCGCATGGATTTACAGAGAGCTGGCAACTATCCTTATTCTGCGGGTGAAAGTTTCGTCATGACAGAAACTCGAACCCCAGTCTGCGACCCACTGAGGCATCTCCTAAACAGTAGTCGAATGACTGCCTAGATCGTGTAAATCTATAGGGATAGCGACGGAGCAGATGACCTCCTACAGGAGCGCCTGTTTCAAGCGACTCGGTGTCTACAATTTTTGAAAACTAGAGCATCGATTTTTTAGAACTGTTAAATTTCAACTAAAAGATCCGAATGATAACCATGTCACACGAACTTGCTACAAGTCTCTCTCTTTTTATTTCGAATGATTCTTAGCAGTGCCGTCGGAACGAAATTCCTATTGGGGGGAGGGGGCTGCCCATTGTTTTTCTCCCATTCAGTACACTGTAAAAAAGGAAATATGATACAGTTTGATAATTATTGCTCCCCCCCCTCCCCCGCTTCCGACGGCCCTGCTTAGTCCGGAAAATGCGGACACTAGAAAGTAAGGAAAGGAAAACCAAAAAGGGTGAGGGTTGGAGAGTGACCGCCAACAATGCCAGTAATTCTTAAGGCCTTACCTCTAAGTAGCAAAATTAGTTGACGCTATTAATTTTTTACACGAAATTCTAAGTCAAGCTTATATGAAATGGTATTGTGATTTATCTAAAGGTGTTGTGCAATTAACTCGTTTTTGAAGCTTTTACAGTTATTTCAAGCTCATCTTTAAAAAAGTAACATTCTGAAAAAAGACAGAAAAGTGACAAGAAAAATTTTATAAAAATGCATAGTGTTTTTATTGTCATTTTCTGTTGTAAATGTTGTAAAAAGCTGTCGAATTGCGCCCTTGATGTAGTATTGAATAAATTAGCATATTATAAACTTCCTCATTACCTGAAGCTGAAAAGAACAACAGGACTGGTCTTCCGACGATTAACAAGATTATTGAAATCACGTTCCATGCTCGAAATTCATCGGACACTTTCCTCTATTTTAAAACCGTCATTTTGTCAGACTGCAAACGAAGAAGCTGTTTTTTATAATGCTTTCGTTTCTCTTGCAGCCACTGAAAGATGTGAGTGAAAAAGTCGAGAAGGGATATCGCATGGAAATACCGGACGGTTGTCCAAAGGCAATGTATACGTTAATGCAGCGTTGCTGGAACATTGACCCTCTTAGAAGGCCTTCGTTTAAGGAAATGAGGAGAGAACTTGAAAGGGAAACTGTTTTATAATTTTATAATATCTTTACGTTGAGTATTAAGCAGAATGTTAACATCTGGAATCGAAGTACCAAGTCGTTTTGTAATGGCCTTTTTGTTATCATAACCCAATAAAGAAGCCTGGATTGTCGATGCATTTTATTGCATCAAGCAAAATCCGGACCCGGACTGGCCCTGGCTAGCTTTGCTTTTACACCCGGCGTTTTGGATCTGAACCGGATTTGAATATTTAGTTTTCATGGATCACATAAATACGCAGTCCGTTCTAAATTGGTTTCCTTGTAGCACGAACGGGGATGATCCATGCTTGTAATGGTTATTCGGGAGTTTAAATCCCGTTGCCACTTGTACACATGCCTGCCATGGGGTTGCGGGTGGAGGGAAAGATTGCCCAATGCCTTGAGCTGAGAGGGACCCCGGAAAGTTAAAGTATTGTTCCTAACAGTAACAGGAACAATTATAATCACAGTTTAATGACGTCATCGTGGACCCCATCTCTCTTTTGCCCCAGACCCTAGAAAGCTCTCGGCCGCTCGTTCTTTTCTGGATCCATAACGGGCCATAATATTTTGGATCCATTTCTTATTCTTTCCAATTCTGTTTAGATCGATATTGATCTTTGTTTAGTTTTGTTAAATCAAAGATTGGATTAGGTTACTATCAGTGCCGATGTGGATCCGGCTTTCATATTGGCATCCTGTCCGGTTTGGTTCCACCTCTAATCTCTACTGTTTTGAATCCGTTTCTGATACATATGGAAATAGATCTGAGTCTAAATCATATTTGCTCAAACTTAATGTTTTGTTAAACAGGCCTGGCTGATATGCGCCTTTATGTATTAAATTAGTTAACATATTCAAGGGAAAGTGTATACTAGTTGCTATGTTCTTTATTTTTATACATATTTACATGTTCGTTTTGTATATGTTCGTTAAAAGAATGAAGGCTCTCTCAAAATGTAACTGGAATTAATAAACTATTTGGCTAACAAGCGAAATTCAGAGTTTCTTGAAACAGATATATTTCTGTAAAGTTGGATCCGCAAAATCACAAAGCATCATTTGGAATGATTTCTAGTGCGTTTTACAACTAATGTTGTTTTATATCTCTAGAAAGTAAATATTTCATGCTCAGGACATTTAGTTGTAACATTAAGTGTTGTTTTCCATAACTACAAAGCTTTCCTGACTGTTGGCTCTCTGTGTCCATTGTATTCTTGTTGAAAGAAACCAACATTTAATGTCATCGATATCATGATTGACTGATTTGATTTGATTTGATTTTGTTTTGATATGATATGATATGATATGATTTGATATGATATGATATGATATGATCTGACATGACATGACATGACATGACATGACATGACATGACATGACATGACATGACATGACATGACATGACATGACATGACATGACATGACATGACATGACATGAAATGACATGACATGATATGATCTGATGTGATATGATATGATTTGATTTGATTTGATATGATATGATATGATATGATATGATATGATATGATATGATATGATATGATATGATATGATATGATATGATATGAATATGATATGATATGATATGATATGATATGATATGATATGATATGATATGATATGATATGATATGATATGATATGATATGATATGATATGATATGATATGATATGATATGATATGATATGATATAATATGATATAATATAATATAATATAATATAATATAATTCATTTTTTTTACAGTAGACGTTCTTTACAGTAGTAGCTAAAAGATAAGCTAATTAAAGGCTACTCTTTATAGGAATAGAAATGATAATATTATACAGTGATATAAAAGCTGTTTAAAAAAATAAATTAAAAGACCTAGGATTTAATTAG